CCGCCCGTCTCCCTTCGCCCTCCCCCTCCCCAGCCGCACAGTCTCCCGTGTTTCGCGGAGCGATTTTAAATGCTCGTTTTGCCGTCGCAGCGCTGCGGGAGGCTGCAGGCGCTGATCGAGGAAGCCCCTTGTAGGGAGAGTCCCAGGGGGCCTGAGCCTGCCGTCCCCTGTGGGGGCTGTCACTTCTCCCCCAGGGCTGATGTGGAAAACTACGGGATGCAGAAGATAAATCTCTTCGGCATCACAAGCCACTGGAGCAGTAGACACAGGTGCTGGTCTGACCCCACGTTTCCCTGCTGTGATTGCTGAGCGTGCTGGCTTCCTATAAAGCAGCAGTGCCTCCGATTCGCCAGGCCCGGCGGTGCCCGCCTGTCCCTAATTCTGCCCTGCGGTCGTAAATAAACTGTCCCCATGAGACACAGCCCCGGACTGAGCAAACAGCTGGATTTCAAGCATTAAGCGTGCCACTGAGCTGGGGAATAGCTCTGGGCCTGAGACTGCCTGTGTTAGCGGGCTCAGCTTTGGGCGCCCTTCGTCAAGCTCCCGGGTTTGCTGGGGGCAATGGCACTTCTCTCCCACCTGGCTGTGCGGTGGCCTTGGCCCATGCGAGAGCAACTCAGTCCTGGAGCAACTCCATCTGTGCTGGAGTCACGGTGCAGGAAAACTTCCTCCTGCCCCCCGTGGGCTCTGGAAACCATCAGCTTGAAAATTAGCTTGCTGAGCACACACGCGCTAGCTATGGACGTGGCTATGACATCAGGTTCTCCGTTTCAGGCTAAGACCAGTTATGGTCGATCCCACGGTGGTGTCCGGCCTGGGACAGACACCCAGGGTTGGTGCAGGGAGGAGCAGCAAGCACCAGTTCAGCTGGCGCCTGCCTGGGCGTTGCAGGGATGAGCAATGTGGGTGTTCGGGGTGTGAGTTTGGGGGGTTCCCCTGTGACAACCCCCCAGGAGAAGGCCCGGGGGTCCACCCATACGTAGGACAGCAAGTCTTCTGCTGGTATGACTTCATGCTCTTAGGACGCACCGCACCAGAAAGGCACCCCAGCGTATACAATTTCTTATGAAATTACAAAGCTGGCGTAAAAGCTTTTCTAGGCTTGCCTGGGTTAGCACTAGCATGGGAGAGCATTGTGCTTGTTGGCTTTAGGCAGTTTGATGCCTTTGCCAATATGGGATATGTAGCAACAAACTAAAAAGCCAAGCCAAAACATGTTGTATTCAGTTATTCTAGTATGCTTATATTAATAGAGCTTATTTCAAATAAGGGAAATAATTTATAGCAATATACTGTCATGCCTTTCTACTGGTATGGCTACCTCCACGCTAACTTTTTTGTGGTATATGATCACACACCTCACCAAAATATTTATAACAGAATAACCTTCTCAGTGACAAGCAGCCTTTTGTCAAAATCATCCCAACCATTTTTTCTGTGTAGACACTGGGTAACAACCTTAGGTTTTGACAGATCAGTTTAAGCACCTAGATTAAGATCTAAGCTGCTAACACGGAGATAAAGATGAGATAAAGGTATGTTAGAAAAAATATCACCAAACTTAAGTGGAGCTTAAACATCCCAGGTAAAACTCAGGCATTGGTCCATCTCTAATTGTAAAGTCCTCTGGGAATCGTTTCTAGATTAAGCACATATAAATAATATACGTACTATATAAATAATAATATAAAAATGTTACATTTTGATGTGTCTCTATAGTCCAATTTCACTTACTGAAACAAAATAATTTTCAGCCCTTTACAGAGTATAATTAAATCAGTTTTGAAGTGTACTTCAGACTTTTATTTTGTTTGGCAGCTGAAAAGTAAACTCCATTCTACGTCTCATTCTTTTCTTGTTCCTCTTCCTCTCCGTGCCCCAGCACTCGGGCGCATTGCTGTAATTCCTACCGTCAAATTGTGACTTTGCTTTTAATTCTTCAAACTTTTACCTGGTTGGTTGTGGTCAGGTGAAACATTCGTCTTCTCTTGCTTGTTGAAATTACTGGCAAGAGAATATAAAGCTCAGCGGGCCTCGTGAAGTCCTCGGTGCGATTCCTTTCAACTCTGCCATGTTTTATGTTATCTTGCAAAATGTGGGAGCCGTGCATGGCTCCGGAAGAGGGAGCTGTTTTCAAGGGTACCCTTGCAACCTCTGCTCACATTAGGAGAGAATGCAATACTTTCCTGGGGAGTTTATAAAACTAGTTCTTTCCAGTGATGTGTTTTTAAAAAAAAACTGCATTTGCTAGAGAACTTTCTGAGAGGCACTTTGGTCATCGGACCCCAAATTCTGTCCCTAAATCTGGGTGGAATAAGGATCTGTGGGGGGGGAATACATGCAGAAATGGGCACTATTGTCTCTCACCCGCCGAATCTCCCTTCTGTGGCCGTGAAGGCCTCTCCTGGGTGTCTGTGGTGCATAAAATGTCCTTTATAAAGGCAAAAGGCCAGTCCAAGTCAGATGAAAGCAACACTAGAAGGAAGAAAAGGCTTTGGCCCCACCAAAATTCCTTAAACAATATTATACAGCCACTGTTTTGTCAAAAATCAGCAGCTGGGAGTGGATGGTCATTTACAGTGCAGGTGTTTGAGAATTAAAGCATGGCGGAAGGCACGTCAGGCAGAGTTTAGCACCCAGGCAAGCTCCACAGGGGATGCTGAGCTCCCCTCCACGACGAGGCCGTGATACAGCAGAGATAAAAGAAAGGGAGGGAAGCAGCAGACAATGTCTCCATCTCCAACAAACAAGTCTCAAGATGGAGAGATCCAGGGAGCAGCTGGCAACCTCAGGAAAAGCAGCATTACTTCTCCCAGCACGAACAGCGGGCACTGTGGCCACATCCAGCCCTCCTGCCTGCCCCGCCAGCCACGCTCAGCCAGGGAGATCAACTCCTTCACGGGCTGAGTTGGGTATTACTCTGGCTCAAGGGCTCTGCAGGCTGGTGCTCAGTTTGGCAGTGAAGATGGGCATGCAGGGAATGCAGAGTACATGGGGAAAGCACGGCCACTCCTCCTCCCTTACTGCTTCTCCCACCCTGGCCTTATGTCGTGGTTTAACCTCAGCCAGCAACTAAGCACCACACAGCCGCTCGCTTACTCTCCCCCCACCTCAGTGGGATCGGGGAAAGTATCGAAAGAGTAAAAGTGAGAAAACTCATGGATTGAGATAAGAACAGTTTAATAATTGAAATAAAATAGTAATGATAATGATAATAATAATAAAAAAAGAATATACAAAGCAAGTAATGCACGATGCAATTGCAAAGCAAGTGATGCACAGTACAATTGCTCACCACCCGCCGACCGATGCCCAGCCAGTCCCTGAGCAGCGGCCCCCCCCAGCCAGCTTTGCCCCAGTTTATGTACTGAGCATGACGTCCCATGGTATGGAATGTCCCTTTGGCCAGTTTGGGGCAGCTGTCCTGGCTGTGCCCCCTCCTGGCTTCTTGTGCACCTCCAGCCTTCTCGGTCGGTAGAGCATGGGAAGCTGGAAAGTCCTTGACTAGTGTAAGCACTACTTAGCAACAACTAAAACATCGGTGTGTTATCAACATTGTTCTCATCCTAAATCCAAAACACAGCACTGTACCAGCTACTAGGAAGAAAATTAACTGTATCCCAGCTGAAACCAGGGGAGTATCCACCCCTTATTCTACACCATCTACGTCATGCCCAGGTCGCCCACTTTCCAATACATTCCCATTAATCACCACCACTTTTCCTGTCTTTTGATATATACATGCAGATATCATTCCCTTAGTCTATGGACTGTCCCTATAAAATGTTTGTTGCATTCATTTAGTCCATGACTTTGGGCCCTATCTATCATAATAATCTTTCAGGGCAGGAGAGATGGTGTGCGGTGTTGCATTGTTTCATGTTGAAGTCAGTTCTGGTTCCATCATCACTGCACTTTGCTCAGTTTCATCAAAATTCATTCTTCATTAATCTGGGTGATTCTTATTGTAATACCATTGATATGGCATATAATATTACATAGCAATTAACATCATATAATGCAGATCATTGGCTGTTCTCACCCAAAATCAAATCCCCTTGAGGTGCACATCGGACTTCCCCATCGTCCCGCATTACCCACCAAGTTCACCCAGGTCCTTGAGCAAAAGCAAACCCACGGATGGGTTTGCCTTTGCCCGAGGCAGGAATAACCCAGACTGTCTGCCCCAGCATATTTTTTATGCGCACTACAGGGACTTTATCCCCTTCTACAGCATGTAAAAGTTTTGATTGGGCAGGGCCAGCTTGACTGGCAGATCCCCTAGTGTTGAGTAACCAGGTGGCTTTTGCTAAATGTGTATCCCAA